TCAGACAACCCCTACATCCCCACATGTTGTTTGAGAAGGTTTCAAGAAAAATGCTCCTCGCTCATCCAAAAACAAACTCCCGCATATTCAGGTGTCAGACACGACTGGATCTTCAAACGGCACAGGGTTCTGTGGTCAGATGAAACTAAAAAAGGGGCTTTTTGGCAGCAAACCCAGCAGATGTGTTTGGTGCAAACAGGGATGAAGAGTACCCCATGCCTATGGTTAAATATACTGCTGGATCTTGTATGTTGTGGGCCTATTTATTTGCTGGAGGTCCTGGACATCTTGTTCCGATACATGGTATTATGGATTCTATCAAATACAAAAAGATAAAAAATAAAAACCTGACGCTAGAAATCTTATAATGGGCCGTGTTTGGTTCTTCCATCAGGACAACGATCCAAAACAAAAATCAAAAATCAACATAAAAATTAGTTACGGAGCACAAAATGAAGCTTCTGCCATGACCGTCCCAGACCCTGACCTGATGAGTGGAGTGAACTGAAGAGATGAAGCACCAACATGGATCTGGGAATCTGCAGGATCTGGAGAGAGTCTGTATGGAGGAATGGTTTCTGATCTCTGGTCAGGTGTTCTCCAAACTCATCAGGCATTATAGGAGAAGACTCAGATCTGTTATCTTGGCAAAAGTTTACAGATTTGAGGTTGCAAAACGTTTTTAATAACAGGGTGCCAATAATTATGGCCAGAGTATTTTGGAGAAAAACAATTATTTCATAGTGTGATTTACCCCCACTTTCAATTCTTTTGCTTCAATGAAAGGTTCGAATTTTGCCAATTTTTTGAATGGAAGATCAAAAGGATAAACAATGCAGAATTATTTTTTACAGCCAGTTTTCATCATGTTTACCAGGGGTGCCATTAATTCTGAGCACGAATGTATTAATTATTAAATACATGCAAGCAGGGCTTGACATTAACACCCGCCAAATGCGGGTGGATTTCACCCGTGGCGGGTAACACAGTCAATCCCACTGGCCACTTTGGCGTGTTGAAAAATTGTAGTCTTGTCAAAAGAAACCTAACATAACAAACGAATTGCAATTAGAGAAGATTAAACTCGCGGGCTGGCCGTAGGACTGAGGGCTGTTTTAGTCTGCGTTTAATTATCTACTTAATGTGATGATCCAGAACATAGGCGCGGCCGTCCACGCTCTCCTGCAGTGACGCTGCGCGAGGGTGCGTGCGCCAAATTGTCAAACGATCATCACACGCGACTGGTCGCGTGCACAAACACATTTGTGAGTGTGCGTGGTCGATATAGCCTAAACAATAAATATCTTCGTGATTAAGGGACACGGTGTAACTACTAGCAGGGCAGCCCTTATGCCACATCATATCACAACTATCTTTCCAGAGTTAATTTTATGTTTCAATAAAATGAATCATGCCATGAAAGAAAGCAGGAGATGCGTTTGTGGGAATAATCTGGTAAATAAAGACCTATACTTGTTTCAGGTGGACATGTCTCCAGTTGATGATATTATTAAGTTAGAATTCTGAGGAAATGCTAATGCAAAACAAACAATTCAAAGTCCCCAAAACTGTCATTTAGGACCATATGAAGTTGCAATCCTGTTGCCTTAATTGTGGATTTTTTCTTTAAAAAAATAAATTATTCTTGGCTCATTGTTTCTTATGCATATAATTATTCTACTCTGTATTACAGTATTTACTGCTGTAAAAAAAAAAATATGTAAGAAGCTATTTTATGTGTATCTTAATAGACAACATGTTTTCAAAAAACCTTACCAGAGCTATTGATAATATTAGTACATTTTAGCACGTTTTAAGCCCCTTTGTCAACATTAATCATATAAACGTAATTTTCCAACAACAAAAATGTGGCTAGTAAAAATGATGCGTGGCTAGTAATTTTGGAAAACCACTACCCAAATTGGCTAGTGAGCAAAAAAGTTAATGTCAAGCCCTCCATGCAAGACAGCATCTACATGCATTTGCAAATAGGCTACATGCTTACAGCATCACCTGTGAATTAAGACTGGACTGGCAGATTATGAGAAAAACATCTTGACATTTATAAAAGCCTTTTTGGGGTCAACTTGGAAGGGGGGGAGAGTGAAACAACACAACCCAACTGTGTGTAAATAAATGTTACAAAGTTATTTACCTGCTAATTTAATTCCATCTGCAGTCTTGTGTTCTACAATTATACGTTGGCTGCTGCTTTTCTCATGCTTTAAAACTTTCTTGTCCAACTTCCAGGGGACTGTGATGAAATTAAACATGAAGTATATTTTTCACCTAACAAAATAAATGTTTTATAGAGTATTTAAAGCACTCCAGGGATTAACTCCCAGAAAATAATTCAAAATATATTAGTTACTACATGATTTAAATGGCATCACTTATACATGTGAAACTTAAAAATTCTTTTCAAAGATTGCAGTCTGATTTACACGGGGATTTATAAAAATAAATAAAGTTCTAAATAACAATGCTCAACTGACATTTAATATAACAACTGCAGTCTAGCTGTCTCTCTCTCTCTCTCTCTCTCTCTCTCTCTCTCTCTCTCTCTCTCTCTCTCTCTCTCTCTCTCTGTATGTTTGTGTGTGCGTGTGTGTGTGTGTGTGTGTGTGTGTGTGTGCGTGTATGTGTGTGTGTGTGTGCGTGCGTGCGTGTTGTAAACCCTATATGTTATGGGCTAAAATATCCCCAGAAAGATGGCCATATCCAAAATCCTTGCCCTTGTAGGGACTAAAGCTCATCCTCATGGGGACTAAAAGTCATCAGCAAAGTTTTATGAAAATGTAAAAATTAAGATTTGCTGTGATGGAAAGGTTTAGGGTTAATGGCTAGAATATAGTTTTTACAGTATAAACATCATTATTTATGGACAGTCCCCATAAAAAAGTTTTTATATCAGGCTTTTATGGCTCACATGAAATAAGAGAATATGGAGCTCATACTCAAGAAGAAAAAAAAAATATTCAGAGTTACCAACTGAGTAAAAATCTCCAATTTGGTGCAGTGGCTTATATTTATATGACCAAAACATTTAAAGTTCTGATATTTTGTAATGTATATCAATGAGATCTGTATAACAGGGGGATAGGCTATATCAGATTACCTTATACATATATCAGTTGTCAATCTAGATCCAATAATATGTTGTAAGATAAGATGATATTAAAATCATTAAAAGATAAGATAAAATAAAAATTCTTAGTTTTATGATCAAAGCTTTTGTTTAGTTTTTGTGGGGGCAAAAGAAAATGCAATGCATCACATTTTAACATGATTTCTAAAAAGTGTTATATTGATAAACATGCGTTGCTTCAGTCCAGGACATTGTTCATCTTGAAATATGACTGTCTAAGAATACAAAAGTTATTCTCTTAATCTGTTAGGATTCCATAGCAAAAAAGGCATGTACACGACCTGTGCTGTGAAGGGGAATATTTTTTGGAATTATTTTAAAAGGTACCTTTCTTGCAAAAGAAGTAAACTATTAATCAGATGACAGAAGGCAGTAGACTGAGTACAACAGTTTTTTTGTGATTGTTTTTTAAACAAAAAATCTGTTAGTGAATGAGTTAATGTTAGCATAAAAAAAAACTTTGTATTTGTTTGCATCTTTTCAGTACATCATTTGATCTTTCCAGTTAACACCTACAGTAACAAGACTAATACAATGTTACAAATCATCAGCACCAGACCCAAGGTTTAAGACTCAGTCAACACTCTTATTGGCAAAAAACTGGGAACTTAAACTACTTTTGCATTTCTTGTGCAGTGTAGTATGTCATAACAGCCACCTGGACTGATAACATTACTTCCTCACTGACATTTGTTATACATTTGTTCAACTCAATCATCTCATTTTCCTTTGCGGATCAAAAACAATAAAGCAACGACATTGAAGAAATTACATTATAGCACAAATGCAATAGAACAAGACAGAGATGTTATGAAAGATCATATCATTTCATCATCCTAAATCATATTATTTATGGGACATGTGCACCACTGAAGCATCATACCCATTCAAACTGAGTACGAACTTGTTGAACCAAATGATGCAATTTCCAAATAATAATAATAATAAATACAATAATGTAGCCTATCTTTAATTATACGATTGTAGTAAATAAAATTGGAAAAACAAAAAAACGTGTTGGATTTACTCACATGTCTAAACAAATTTAGATGTTCAGCAAACACATTTTATTTTCCCACTTTTATTTACTATAATCATGTTTAATTTTTAACAATAGGCTACATGATTTTATTCATATTATTTTTTGGGGGGAAATTGTATCACAAAACGTTCTTGGTCGGTCAAATAGTTGCATTGCAAGTTGCATTTTCTAAAAAATCTCTGAAATTAATTCAAAAATGCTAATTTAATCAGGAACAATGTCTTTAAGAGTGAGTCGTTGATTTAATCAATTGATTTAATCAATTTGTTAAAAAAAAATATTTCAACAAAAAATAAAAAATAAAATTAGTACATCAGTTTGAATCGTCTCTTCCCTGATTCTCTTAAGTTGTGGCAAACTAACTTGCTAGGAAGCTAAATATTTTATGTAAAATTTTAATTAAAATATTTCACTAAAATATTTAAAATATATATATTTACTTGGACTGAAAAATAAGATTTTCTCAGAACCTTTGGTAAATTAGCCTACATGTTTTGTTCAGTAGCTATCTTTAGATTCAGGTTTTGTAGAGAGCAATGACTGACATTTTTTTTTTCTTTAGAGAATATTGATCTCTATTTTAAGCAACTACAAAAAAAATAAATAAAAAAAATCAATGTATCCATCATGCCAAAAATGTATCATGCAGCTCTAAAACTGTGTAACTAGTTTTGCTCATATAGGATAAACAAACCAAGCAAGCAAACTGTTGCAGTCAACACACATTAGTTGCGTTTAGTTCCTTAATGAATACGTTTTTGAATTAATGGTTTAAAGGATGTTTAACTAGCTAGATTGTTTCTTACTCACCAAAGCACGAGTTTACAAATCCGTACCACATGCACCCGTGTCTCCCCACCAGCCACCGGCCGCGGATACTGGCCGCGAAGCTGAGCGTGGTGCCGAACAGACATACAAGCATGTCACTCACACTGATGTTGAGCAGAAGCATGTTCACAGGAGTCCGTAGGGTCTTGAATTTACAAAACAGAACGAGGACGATTAAATTGTTTAGGATCCCGAATACCAGAATAGATCCCAAAATAACGGCGACCACATTATGTCCCGTCCGTGACAGTTTCTCAGCAGGAGAGTCGCTCCAATCTTGATCTAGCGTGGACAGCGTTTCATCATCATCCGTGCCGTTCGAAGTGTAACTGAAATTGGCTTCTTCCGAAAACATCTTTGCTTTACTCAGTTCAGCTGATATCACTTTTATTGCATGCTTGATACATGGAGTAAATTCTTCCGGAGCTTCCACACACCTGAGCGTAGACCTTGCCATTTACAAGTTCTTTGAAGAATCGCAATCCATGCTTCATCTAAATCCTCACACAGCGCGAGAATAAAGTTGCTGGGCTCAGCAGCCCACATAAAAAGCCTCACAGTCCATCACAAACAAATAGGCTATGTAGGTTAAGCGTGTGTGATAAGCTTCGTTGGTCATTTCGGAGGATATGCCGCTGTCGCAACGTGTTATAGCCTACATTCAAGTCTGCAACTAATAATGCCCCTGCTAAATGTTTAAGCAGATTCTCAAATTGGTTATAGCCTAGTTACATACAGTAGATGCAGCCAAAAGTCGACAAAAGGAAGTTAATAGTATCTTGAAATGCTGAGTAAAATAAACAGTGACGGTTTTCACATCCTTGTTTTTCCTGCTGCTAAACGTCGAGGCGCTCACATCTCGAGTTTGCCACCTCTTCAGAGCACTTTGAGAGCGTGAGTGCACATTTGTGTGTGGAAGAAGCCTTGAGAGTGACGTCGACACTCCAAAGTAGCTCATCATAAGTAGCCTATGCATTACATTTTCATGTTGTACACGGCGGACTATTTGCACGAAGGGCTAATAGACAGTCCTGTTAAAGCTACTGAAATATGTTATCTAGACGCTGAGTTTAATATTTGAATAGGTTATTCAATTTTTAAAGTGCAAAACGTTAATGGTAACGATCACAAATATTAACGTCCAAAGAACAGCACAGATTATAATGAATGAATTACATAACATTTTTTTGGCTACACCTATTTTAAGGTTTCGTAATTATACTGAAATTACTAATTATACATTTAAGTACTACTATTTAGTTACTAATTTATACCCCAAAGAGGTAGAAAAAGACCAAAGAGGTGTAACAACAAAAAAAGTGTACTTTAAAACTACTTTTGCACCTGGCTGTGGATGGCTTAAAGATTGACAGGTGACTATGTGGTCATTCACAGTTTGGTCTGTTGATGCAGAAAGTTTGCGAGAAACATTGGCCAAACAATCTCATTCTCATCTCCTATAGTGGTGATCAGAAATTGTTTTGGACCTGACTACTCAATGTCCACATGATCAGATCACCTGAAATGGACAATAATACTTAGAGTGAATGATGTATTTTGTACTGACTTAAAGGAGTAGTTCACTTTTCAAAACACTTTTTCTGATAATTTACTCACCCCCATGTCATCCAAGATGTCCATGTCTTTTTTTTTTCTTCAGTTGAAAAGAAATTAAGGTTTTTGATGAAAACATTCCAGGATTTTCTCCATATAATGGACTTCAATGGGAACCAAATGGGTTCAAGGTCCAAATGAGAGTTTCAGTGCAGCTTCAAAGGGCTTTAAACGACACCAGATGATGAATAAGGGTCTTATCTAGCGAAAATAAAACTTAAACTTTTGTATTTATTTTTTAAATGGCTGACCATTTAAAAAATAAATACAAAAGTTTAAGTTTTATTTGCACAAATGCTCGCCTTGCTCTGTTCTGTGATGCGCGTTCGTGACTCTCCTGTTCGAACTCGTTCATCAAAATGAGCAAATCTTTTTTCGAGTCATGACTCGAAGGGTAGGCTACTAGATAAGACCCTTATTCATCGTCTGGTGTCATTTAAAGCCCTTCGAAGCTGAACTGAAAGTGTCTTTGGACCTTGAACCGTTTGGTTCCCATTAAAGTCCATTATGTGGAGAAATATCCTGGAATGTTTTCATCAAAAACCCTAATTTCTTTTCGACTGAAGAAAGAAAGACATGGACATCTTGGATGACATGGGGGTGAGTAAATTATCAGCAAAAGTTTTTTTTTTTAAAGTGAACTACTCCTTTAAAATGGATTCGGATTATGTTATGCTACTCTGTTAGCAGGGGCACTGTATTATTTATTTTTGCTTGTTAGTTAGTTAATGCACAATTATTAGGGAGATTAAAAACTGATTAGATATTGAAGTTGCTTCTTCTGTACAATTGTAAAGCCTCTTGATATTCTGCATACAAGGAAAAATGTATTCCAACACAAGTTCTCTGACCTTGTCCAACCACTTGAATACGAGATATTTTAATGCATGGATTTATGCTCACCAAGACCCTGTCTGTTTAGTCATGGTCTGGCAAGTATTTCAATATTTAAGGCTAAACTCTTTTGCTGAAGGACTGTTCAAAGGACTGTAAATTCATAATGCATTGATTAACCTTGTTACATGTCTTCCCACTGTCTGACATCCAGACATCAGTACAGTACATCCATACATATGTAGTAACTATAGTCCCGTCACCATCACTTAGGCAGTAAGGTTTCCAACAGGACCTCTGTATCAAAAGAATTATTCGAATATCTACCCATCCATGTCTATTTATTGCAACATAATAAAAATGCTCTCACTTTAAGATCCAATATTCTTTCAATTTTACGGATGTATACAGCACATTAAAGAAAGGGTTTCTGCACATGAAACTAAGCTCTTAAGATTCCTCAGGGCCATGACTCATCGGCCTCTGAAAAGGCACAATATGACTGTCACAATCTGTCGTCTGCACCAGTCTGTCTCGTCATCTGCACTACACTTCCCAGGATCCTATTGTCTCTACTCCCGAACTCACTCCCTCATCAGCCACCTGTTCCTCGTCTGTTCATCATTTTCACCTGTTTGCACCTCATTATGTTTGATTCCCCTGTGTATTTAGTTCCCTCAGTTTCCTTCAGTCTTTGTCGATCGTTGAATGTGAATGTACCTGTGTACCCATGTCATTTGCTTGTGAGAGTCTTCCTGTCTGTTTTTGATTCCGTTGGATGTTAAAGTTTAAGTAAAGTGTTTGAATTGGAGTATCTGGCTCACCTGTCTTCTTCATCTACCTGCACTTCCACCACACCCGTGACAATGACAATGATCTTATATTATAATAAGCTTGGCATTTGAGCTAATACACAGGTCCATTAATGAGTCTATCTGCAGCACTTTGGATCGTGTGGAGTAACTGGCATCACGTATCTGAAAGAAATGTAAAACAGGCCAAAAGTCACAAATCTCAAAAGACTAGCAGGATTTAATAGTATATTCAATGTAAATGGGAAACTAAAGAAAGTATTGTGTAGTAAGAAGCACATCCTGATTTTGAAGAGATGGAAGTGTTCCTTGGTCAGCAAATTTTGTTGAGCCTGGAAAATTGTATGCTAAACCTAACCCTACCCATAAGTTATCCCTAAAATTTAGAGGGAAATTATGTAAATGATAGATGAATAACACTGACGGCTGAGGCATTCCCTTTCAAGGGAACTTGCATTGCATCGAGATTGACGCTGTGAGAATATCTAAATCAACACCACCATAGTGATCAGGCACTGTCTCAGTGAATACAATAAAGACAGAATCACCTGGGACCCAGAGGTGAAGCCCAAATCTAGGTTATAAACCCGACGAGTGTGGGCAGATAGGAACAGCCCACCACACCATAGATCTCTTGTAGGGATACAGAAACATGTACAGATGCAGCACAGTCACGTCTGAAACTGCTTCAGCACCTTGGGTTGGAGTCTCCCTTCCCTGGGACTCAGCCCCTGCCTCAACAGGATGTCTGCTCCCTGAATCTGATGCCCAGGGATGTAGAGCTAAAGCCATCATCACCAGGCGATTGCCAGGTGAGATGATGACCCGTCAACACACACAGAGCAACCATCCATGATCGCTCCCCAGCCAGTGAGGGAAGCATCAGTCGTAAGCATTACAAGGACAAAAAGCTCCCAGGACAGGACCCTGAGACAAGAACAAAGGCTTCTTCCACATAACTATAGGGCACGTGCGCATCACTTGATGATGACCCTAATCATGCATAAGGGGTTGCCCCCCTGAAAAAAACCCTTTGGTCCCGAGCTACCTGCATCAACATTGACTCCAAAACCACGGCTAGAAAAGTGGTCCTCTGTACTGGAGAAAGCACACATTTTTGGCGTTTAGCTGTAACCCCAATTCTTTCATGTGGATGAGAACGACATCTCGATGCTTAATCGCCAACTGATGTCACTGAGCCAGAATCAACCAATCGTCGATGTAATTTATGATGCGAATACCCTGCAGGCGCAGAGGCGCCAGAGCTGCATCTACATATTTTGTGAAAGTGCGGGGTGATAGTGCTTGATAGTGCCGAATGGAAGAACTCAATATTGGTATGCTTTTCTCCTAGAAGCAATGGAAGGATGGACAGGATTTGTCTCAAAGTTAACATTTTGAACTTTAGCTGCATGACTGACTCGTTCAGAACTCAAATCCAAAATGGGACGCAGCCCCCCATCCTTCTTGGAACTATGAAATACCGACTGTAGAATCTGGTTTCCCTGTTGGAGGGGGGTACATGTTCTATGGCCCCTTTCTCCAATGGGGTTTTCACTGTTCCATTACCAGAACTTCCCTTTTCTATGGTCTGCAGGATCCAACGAGAAACATTTGGCAGTAGCTTCCATGCTGCCAAAAATTATACTAGTAGTATCAGCCTAGCTTCGGTTTTTTGTTGTGCAATCAGCCCAACGCCCTGTAACGACAAGCCGACCAAACTGACTGCTCTGAGAGTCCCAGGAACACTATGTTTCTGGGTAAACCCTGAGATATATGCTCGCTGGAGACCACTGCACATGAGGTGGCAGGGTTAGCAGAACAGCCCCCTGAGGGCACAGAAGAGAAATGGACAACATATAATGAGGTGTTAACCACTTTCCCCAGAAGAAGAACGCCCCTCATAGGTCTGGTGCCATTGGCCTCAGGACCTCTTTTTTCTAAGCCTTTTCAAGATAATCACTGTCCTTACATCTGTCTTATCCCAAGATGACTACAGCTGAGACTACTTAAGGAACCAGTCTCACAAGACTGGTACCTAGTATAGCTCGAGAAGCTCAAGGAGAGACTCTAAGTCCAAGAACCATACTCGGCCTGCCAACATGGGACTAATAACAGAAGATGGGCCCCGTACTGTCGAACTCTCTCCAGAACTCCCTAGAGCAGAGAGATCGGGGAAAATGCGCACAGACGTGACCTCGGCCCCTTCTGCATCGTAGCGTCCAGCCCCAGAGGAGCTGGCTGACTGAGTGAGAACCATAGTGGAAAGTGTGTTCTCTAAGATGCGAAAAGGTTCTGCTCGAACCAAAGTTTTTCATTGGTGCTCCAACACCTCGGGGTGGAGTCTCCGTTCCCTGGGCTCCTGCTCCTGGATTATGTAAGAGACCACTGATGTGTTGTCCATGCAGACAAGCACATGGTGACCTCTCAGGTCTGGCAGGAAGTGCTACAGAGAGAGAAAGAGAGAGATCAAAACACCGCCATCATTTCTAGCCGATTTGTGTGCCAAGAAAGTAGATTTTGCCAAAGACCTTTCGTCGAGCAACCACTCACGATCGCCCCCCAACCTGTGAGGGAAGC